GTGAAGAGGTGGCTCAGTCCAAAGAGCTTTCCCATTTTCTCTCTTTTCTCTAAAGAAGATATGGTGCTAAAGAAAAACCCTCTATTTTGAGAGAGATTCTTAAAGCAACAAAAGAAGCAATTATTTAAGAAACGAAGAATTCTGGTCTGGAAAAGAAGTAGTCTGTGTCTCTCTTTATATACAAGAATGGTCTTTCAAGTTCACCGTTTCGAAGTAATCTGCATGGGATTTTGAATTTGGATTTTCGGCAAAAGAGACAATTATTAATGAAAATAAAATATAAACAAATAGAGAAAATTGCAACATAGACCTTACCCTATCGAAACTGTTACTGTTTACTCCCAAATTTACAAATGCATGTTCGGAAACCCCAACTTTAAGCGCCTTTGGAATTTGCAAGTCAATTTTCACGATCACCATATGTCGAGTCGTAAAATAATATCATGAATCGCACATATGCGACATTGTCACTCTCACATCCCGATAGCACTGAAATTTAAAAACAATGAATTATATAAGTTCTCTAAACATGAAATAATATAATGAATCAGAAGCCTGTAATATTTGGAAAAAAGGACCATTTCCAATTGTAAGTTAAAATATAAATGGAAAAAAGTTTTTATTTTTTTCTCAAGTATACTACCAGTAAAAAAGGTTGGATGTGCTGTGCTGTGCTTGCTAGTGCAGTTGTACTCAACTTAATTGGGATTGGGCAGAAGGGGTCAAAAAAGTCAAAGGACAACAGAAAATGCGTAGCTTGTAAGTTGATGCAAGGTATAAAATGTAACAAGGAAGATAGCTTTTCACGCTTTGATGCGTACAAGGTTGTGTAACAGATTTTGGACCATTGATTGATCACAAATTCACTGGATAGAAATATAATCCCAATTTGGTATAGATTAAAATTTAATTTAATTAATTTTAAGGCAAAATCAATAATTATTTTTCTAACCATATGTTTCATATGATTTACAACTTTTCAATTATAATATGAACAATATTGTAGAAGTAAAGAAGTCACATTCTCGTTACTCTTACTGTTCACCTCACTCAAGCCACCACATCAGCTCAAGACGCACATTCTTATTACTCTTCTTCTTCTTCTTATCAAATTACACCAAAACCTCCTCTTCCGTGAATCCACCATCACAACCACTAAAACCTCGTTGCCAATAACTATTATGCTTACCACACAACAACATTACTATACCAACCACCATTCATGGCACCACCAGAAAACCCTATTGCCTACATCTCTTGGCTTCATTTCGCATGGCGATTTTTGATGGTATCAACTGGGGTGTGATGTGACTAGGGGCTCAGGTCCAGTGAAGGCACGGGCCTGCACTGAACTTTTGGGCCCAACCCAATGGCCCAAGTTCTTTTTTAATGAATATCTAATTTTTAGCCTAAAAGTGAAGCCCAAAACCTTTTTGATCCAACCCAATACCGACAGTTCACTCCATTTCAATTCAAAATCCATGGGAATTTCATTCCAAATCTTCCGTCTTCAACCACCGCCTCCCGACACCCAACTCTCAACCCCGGTTGCTCCTCTCTTTCTCCCAACCCATACCCATTAATCTATTACCCACTCCTTCAATCTGAACCCGTTGTTGCTCTGCTTGCCTCCGGCCTTGTTCGAGCCCTAGACCGCGACCACTGGGCGCCAACGATTCTTCGACAATCGGCAGCATCTGAAGAAAAAGGTGAGTTGAAGCCCTTAATCTTCAACCTAAAGCTTATGCATTGCTGTATGCAGTATATAAAGAAACTGATGGAGTCATTTTTTCTTGGTGTGTGTGACTTCCATATAAACTTCTCTTTCTCGATCTTATTGAAATTTTTTAGCAACAAGTGAGCTTAGTATCACAATGAGCTGAACCCTATAAATCTACGTGTTTCACTTTCAGTTCAGAAATGGTAATTTTATTTTGATTTCATTCATTAGTGCTTGTGAAATTGATTGGGGGTCGTAGTGTTAAGACATTTTTTTATGCATATTCAGATGAAGATTTTTGTTTGATTATTTACTTTTTAACTTCTTAAATTAGCACTTTGCTCTTCAATTGCTCAAAGCCTACTGCATTATACACATAGTTGTAAAATTGATTTGGCTACCAGACTATTAGAATCCTTCCAGTATTGCTGCGTGCCTGCCTCTGTGGCGGTGAGTTATTGCTTACTCTATCGCTATAATTTGTGAAGTGTGAATTACATAAGTTCTAGAAATATTATTGCCTGTGAATTGCTTATAGTATTGTTATGTTAATTGTGAATTGTCCTGTGAATTACTTATAGTATTGCATTGTGAAACTGTGAATTGTCCTGTAAAAGTGTGAATTGCTTTGCAACCTTTGCTTTTGCTTCTAGTATTTGTGAATCTGTTTCTGTGGTTCTGAATTACTCTCAATTAGTAATTTGATATTTAATGTTTAATACCAGCTATGAAATGAAGATATTATTTCAAAGAAAAACTAATGTTGACAATATAAATGTTGATGGGGGATGTCGAATAATGTGGAATTTGATGTTACAAAACTTTTAACTGATCTGGGTTTAATGATATCTATTTTGGATTTCAATGCTAACATATTTTTATTGTCATTAAATCCGTAACCAAAAACTCGACGTTTAACATCGATAAATTGTACCTGCACAGAGTTACTTTCTTGGCTCTGCCCCAGAATGTGACAATATGAGGATGGAACTTTAAAAATTCGAGATTGTCTGCTGAATAGAGGAGGTGGCAATGAGAAAAGAGGGATGAGAAGATGGCCATGGTATATCAAAATGAGGATGGGACGTTGTAGATCTAAGATTTTTATGCCAGGGAAGTGACAATATTTTGTAGCACTTTTAAAGAGAGAATTCTAGGCGAGTTAACGAGGATTTCTAATTCAATTAGATACACACTTTTTTAAGAATCTTGTCATCTTTGCTTAGAAGCCCTATTACGGTCATTATGCATAAGTCAATGACCATATACAAATTTTAAGATGGGAAAACATATTTCACTCCGATAAAAAAATAAAAATAAAAAATAGACTAATTAGAAATTTTCCCTTATAATATCTGAATTTTTAATTCATACGTTAGAAAATAGTAAGTTATTTAAATATGTATGAAAATTAAAATTTACGAAAAGGGAATTTCACTTACTCCCTGTTTGATTTTGCTAAAAAGTCATATTTTTAATACATTTTGACAATAATTAATATTATGTGTGCTTGAAAAATTGATAAAAATTGTGGATTCAATAACATGTGTAGTTTAAATTAATATTTGACTTTAACTTAAATTTTTATCAACTCTTTAACTAAATTAAATATAGACTTTACGCTTAATCAAACACGCCATACATAAAACCTTTTGGGACTTTTTTTCCTTTTTATTATTATTATTTTTAACATCTATTTCAAGTTGATATTCTATATGCAAATTGTCAATTGGCAACCGGCTGAACAGCAAGAATTGTATAGCCAATTAGCCATCTGAAAGCGAACTGCATTAAGCCCCTGCTTGGTAGAAATTAAAATTAAATTTTTAGTAAATTTTGATAAAAGTTGAAGAAATGCGAGGTTTAAAAGTTGGATAACCCATGAAATATGTGGTTAAAATTAATCTGTTGACATTGACTTAAATTAAAATCTAAATTTTTATCGGTACCAAACAAGGGCCAAGTTTACATGTAATAAATATTTTTGTAGATAATCATGATATCAAAGAAGAAGAAAAATGGATTAAAGAATTAATTTAGCCCATAATTTATCTTCTAATTAATACGCTCTAACCATTTCTAACACGAGCGGCTTAGGTTGAGCCATGGTTCTTCTTTTCCACAAGTTAATTTCCTTCCTTGGCTCCACCGCCACCCCACCGCCGCCGGAACCACTCCGGGCGACCACAATTGGAGCCGAGAAAGGAATAATTACATCATATTCTCCTCCCTCTGAATAGTATTCACGTTCCTCCGGTGCAATCTGTGCAGTTTTCCAATCAAAATTCGCCAGTGTACGAGAATCTCGACTGCTAGCAAACCGCTTCATCTGGCTTATACTCGGAGCCCGATCAGGTAGAGGCGGTTTTTTATTATGATCCGTTGATGCATCGGATTTTCTTCTTTCGGGCTTTACAGTACTGCTAAACATATTCAGAACCATTGATGGTTTCTTCTTTAGCTCTGACGGATGCCCGATGAGCTTGATTTTGGGCTCGAATTCTTTAGGCAAAGAAACGTACTTGTTTTTGCATAGCTTCTTCTTGTGCTTGATTTGGCCCATGCATGAAATCTTTGGTGAAGTTGGCTCTTGTGTATCAAAATTCGAGTTCTTCGATTTCCCTGATCGAATCGGGCTGGAAGACCCTGTGTTCAGATGGGTATTACCTTTCTTAGCATTCGTTCCATCTGATCTCTTGTCTTTACCAGTGCTAAAAGTAGGGTCTTGAAATGAAACTGCTGCTTTTGGTAGAAACCCTAGAATCTTGTTCTTTGATTTATTAGTTGCTTGAGACTTCTCCATTTTTGGTATATTGAGCTTTCTCACTCTCTTTTTATCTCTATATTTATAGAGATAGAGAGAGGACAATTATTTGGTCAGAAAAGGATGATAAGACGGCGACCAGATTTGATGCATGTTTTTATCTCTATGCGTTAATATCAATTACTAAAATGTTCATTCAACGGTCTAAATCTACGGGCTAAGTCAATTGCTGACTGTATAAACGAATGTATTCTTCAACGTGAAAATATGGCAAACGACGAATCAACGTATTGTTGTGAAGAGAGGGAAAAAGAGAATATAGAATAAAAGTCAATATAGTTGTGTGTATTATAATGAGAATCAACACTTTATATTTATATGACAGAATTAGGGATGCAATGATAATAATTTCTAGGGCTGCAGGAGTACAATTATCATTCATCAATAAACTTATCATTTACAACACTCCCTCTTGAATGACACATTACAAAATATCTGCATCATTACAACTATAGTATAGGTGATACTAGATGATATGTTAAATGAAATGTAAAATTAAATTACTTATTTAATTTTATATATCATTTAATGACATTGTTACGCCTCGTTACACAAGGGCCCACGCTTGGTCTCAATTATACTGCTTGACAAACGGTTCGACAATCCCGTTCCCTATACACCTGTACAAGGCGAAGTTAAATCGACCCTCAAGTATGGACGACCTGCGTTTCCCCCACAAAGCAAGAGTGGACCGACCCTATTCAATGTAGACCTCATGGGAAAAGCTGATCCAAGGCGAGGCAGCGAGAAGATCCTAAGCAAATCTTGTATTATGTAATTGACAAGATAAGTCACTGCAATCGTCTCCGTCGCAAACCTAGTTGGTCAAGTCCAAGGCCGCAGTCTGACCTCGTTTAATGTTGTGATTGATTGATATTTATGACAAGAAAGGTCAAATCACTTAGATGGGGCCACATGCATCGCCATCTAACGACCCTTATCCGTCATACCCAAGTATAAAAGTTCACCTTAGTATCATCCAAGAATAATGCAAATTTAGACTCTAAAAGTTATAATCTTGCTATCCCATCTTTTACTTATTTCCCCCAAAACCGACCCCCTTTTTATATTCGGAGGCTCACATTTAAAACTCTCACACACTCATATTATTATTATTACTTCAACTGACTTGATCATCGGAATGCGCGCATCCTCCTCCACCTCTTGGGAGAAGGCCACGTGTGACTGGCAGTTTGTCTTAGTGTGTAAGAATAAAGTTTGCGTGGATGTGAGAGGCATTGAGATTTGTATCAGCAGTACATTTTTTGGGGTCAAGAGATGTATTAACGTCATTTAAACTGAGGTCGTAATTCCAATGGAACTAAATAACATCACTCTTTTGAATTTCACTACACACACAAAAATTTATAGTTATTTTTTATTATTATTTCAATAAAATGTACACATCAGACATGGACACACAGAGGAAAATAGCATTCCTCAGGTTAAAAATTTGGAACGCTGTAGTAATTAGGAGGGTGTTTGGTGGGGATTAAAATTAGATTTTTAGGAGATTGTGTTAGAAGTTTTTGAAATTTGTGAAATACATTTAATTAAAATCAGGTTTTAATACTTTTAATCCAGACCAAACGGAGGCTAGTAATGATTCTTTGACTTGGTTGAAAAATATAACGTGTCATTGACCAGATAAACATTGGGCGCCTCCTGAATATATTTACAAAAAATATCTGGGAAAAAAAATTGAAAATTGTAAAATTTGCCGGCTTGTTGCTAGAAATACAGTTGGAACATATTGATTGATATTAATAAGGTTGTTGGTTTTGCCGTGTGGGGTATGCGCCATGTACCATCTTGTAACGTTTACTTGTCTTAAACTCTTGGAAAATATGTCCAAATCTCACCTAAATAATCGTGGCCGATTTATGAAAAAATTCCTAATATGGTAAGTTGCGTCGGTGGTGAAAAAAGAATACTTCCATAATATTTTGTTATCCACGTCAACTTGAAATTAGTAGGGCTGTCAATGGATTGGATTTTGATCCGAATCCGATCCGAATCCGACGAAATAAATGGGAGATGGATTTAGGGTCTCAGTCCACCACGCTTGGTCTCAATTATACTGCGTGACAAATGGTTCGACAATCCCGCTCCCTATACACCTGTACAAGGCGAAGTTAAATCGACCATCAAGTATGGACGACCTGCGTTTCCCCCACAAAGCAAGAGTGGACCGACCCTATTCAATGTAGACCTCATGGGAAAAGCCGATCCAAGGCGAGGCAGCGAGACGATCCTAAGCAAATCTTGTATTATGTAATTGACAAGATAAGTCACTGCAATCGTCTCCGTCACAAACCCAGTTGGTCAAGTCCAAGGCCGCAGTCTGACCTCGTTTAATATTGTGATTGATTGATATTTATGACAAGAAAGGTCAATCACTTAGATGGGGCCACATGCATCGCCATCCAACGACCCTTATTCGTCATACCCAAGTATAAAAGCTCACCTTAGTATCATCCAAGAATAATGCAAATTTAGATTCTAAAAGTTATAATCTTGCTATCCCATCTTTTACTTATTTCCCCCAAAACCGACCCCCTTTTTATATTCGGAGGCTCACATTTAAAACTCTCCCACACTCATATTATTATTATTACTTCAACTGACTTGATCATCGGAATGCGCACGGCCACCTCCACCTCTTGGGAGAAGGCCACGTGTGACTGCCAGTTTATCTTAGTGTGTAAGAATAAAGTTTGCGTGGATGTGAGAGGCATTGGGATTTGTATCAGCAGTACATTTTTTGGGGTCAAGAGATGTATTAACGTCATTTAAATTGAGGTCGTAATTCCAATGGAACTAAATAACATCACTCTTTTGAATTTCACTACACACACAAAAAATTATAGTTATTTTTTATTATTATTTCAATAAAATGTACACATCAGACATGGACACACAGAGGAAAATAGCACTCCTCAAGTTAAAAATTTGGAACGCTGTAGTAATTAGGAGGGTGTTTGGTGGGGATAAAAATTAGATTTTTAGGAGATTGTGTTAGAAGTCTTTGAAATTTGTGAAATACTTTTAATTAAAATCAGGTTTTAATACTTTTAATCCAGACCAAACGGAGGCTAGTAATGATTCTTTGACTTGGTTGGAAGATATAACGTGTCATTGACGAGATAAACATTGGGCGCCTCCTGAATATATTTACAAAAAATATCTGGGAAAAAAAATTCAAAATTGTAAAATTTGCCGGCTTGTTGCTAGAAATACAGTTGGAACATATTGATTGCTATTAATAAGGTTGTTGGTTTTGCCGTGTGGGGTATGCGCCATGTACCATCTTGTAACGTTTACTTGTCTTGTCTTAAACATTTGGAAAATATGTCAAATTCTCACTTAAATAATCGTGGTCGATTTATGAAAAAATTCCTAATATGGTAAGTTGCGTCGGTGGTGAAAAAGGAATACTTCAATAATATTTTGTTATCCACGTCAACTTGAAATTAGTAGTTGACATATGATTAAAAATATCGATGAAATTCGAATATTTGTCATGTACTCACGCTTATTTATTTATTTATTTTTTTATATGGAAGATTTACTGAAATGGTCTTTAAAATGGGCTATTCTGGACTGGACTTCCGAAAGGGCCAAAAAGTAATGGACTGGGAAGTGGGCTTTTTGTTAAAACAAAAACCTGCAAAATAATGACGACACCGTGAGAACCCAGATCAAGAACGAAGAAGAAACCTTCTCCGAATTTTTTCATCTTCCCTTCCAATATGATTTTCTTTTTCCTCACATGATTTCTAAAAATACGCCATAAAATTAGCTTGTAATTTTTGAACTTATGTTTAATTAGGTAATATTCTGGTCGAGATTAGGTTCCAGTACTGAATCATAGTATTTTTTAGTCTTGATAGATGATTGAAAACAATTCTCTGCTTAGAATTATGCGAACACTTTCACTGGGTTAATCCCATTTCAAAAACAGTTTGCTTTTGAAAAATTGATCTAGTTTCTTTATTTTTGAACTCTTTATTTCTAATTTGTTAATCTTGGTGGTTAAAATTCATTCTGATCTGTTAATGTGTTATTGTTGAAGGGTAACGAGGATGGTTCTCACCTTAGATTTGCAAGATTTCCTTCTCCGGGGTCGGGTGTTGAAGCTGTACAGACAAGCTCTCAGGATTGCGAGGAGAGCTCCAAATGGTTCTAGTGGTGAGGCATCTATCTGATTAATTTTGTCATCTGAAAAGAAAAATTATTTCAAAACTTGCTTATTTACTTAATTTAAGTTTTTCAACATTATCCAAACATGCATTTTTAATGGATGTCATATTTTCCTTTACTTATTAGTTATTTTGGTATCTTCTGTTGGTTCCTTCTGGGAATTTTGAGCTCATTTATATAATATCTGCATACAGGGTTCTTACTTAACTCTAGTTGAACACAAAATAATATATTCTCTTGGTTACTACTCTGAGCACGCGCCATAGTGTTTTCAAGCTATAAATCATCTCATCTGTTTTTATTTTCCCTCCATGTCTTCAGACATTAATATCGTTATAAGTATCAATAAGAAGTCGCGGAATGCACTTGAGGCTTTCGAGTTTAGTCAAACTATCGTTAATTGCTAAGCGAAAATATTATAACTAGTCTCCTATAGCATTTTGTTTTAGGCAGATAAATCCATAATTGGAAGCTCAGGCATAATCCTGCCTTCTTAGAGATTTGTTCTTAATGAGAGTTTGTTGAGATAATGTATTTTCTACCAACCCGTTAGATATTGCAGTTTCATAAACGCGACAATGAACGGGGCAAATCAATCCCGATCATTGGTGAGAATTCCTACTTCTATTAAGAATCAAAGTTATGGCCGTGCTGCTTTATTCTTTTTAAAAATTTTGGTTTTTGGTTAATTTTTTATGCTTCTTGTTAATTTTGCCAGCTCCTTATGATTGAATTTGTACTTCCCCTTCTCATCCTCCTTTTCAAGCTCCTCGTCAAATGGAAGCCATGTGATAACTCTATATGATTGTTTTTGGTTAATATAAATAACTAGGCTGGTTCTTTAAGGTTTTAAAATAGTGTTAGGTCTTATGCTTTGGCTGTTCTTTGGAGGTCTCATGTCATTTGTTATGATGTTGTCGGCACAGATGAATTGAGGCAGATAATTAGACAAGAGATTGAGAATAACAGGACTTGCAATGACAGGCAAAGGATTAGATTTTTGATCAGTGATGGCTTAGAGAGATTGAAACGTTTGGATGAGACACTTGATATGCAAGGTCATTCCTGATAAATTTCAGGTACTTGTTGAATTACATCAAATTGCAATCATCTGTTTAACCTATATGTAAGTTTTGCTATTGCTTACCTTACAATTGACTCTTAACAAGAAGATTGAGCCCGTGTAATCCTTATTTTCTTTGACGAGATTCTTTATTATTGGGCATGTTTAATTCACATGGACAAGAATGAAACTATATGCATTAGCTCTCCATGCTTTCTGTCCTAAAGAATTGAAGTCTTTCCTAGTCTGGCCTCTTCTTGATCTTCTCTCACTCTATAAAAAATAGAAAATGCTGAAATTCACTTGCAAGGGGCTGCAAAAAAGATACTTTCTCCATTTTTTTTCTATTTTATGCATTCAGTTGATTATTCAACTCAAATGCCAAGGCAACAAGCTACACTTCAAAATTGTTGAGCGATTGAAAGTCTGAAATAAATTACACCAGGCAAGTGACCTTTCAAAATACGTTAATCCTAAAATACCCTACCTTTTCTTCGTCGTGTCCCCCAAATATGCCATACTAGATCTATGCAATTTTGTAGAACTTGTGATGCCCAGTCTTCATAGTAGAAACTTTCATGAATTTACAATGGCTTCAAGTCATCCATTATCTTGGAATACTTGGGATTTTTCCAAAACTGATGGGCAGCCAAGTGGCCCTAACCTTTCAAAGTCCCATTTTCAACTGGCTCAATCTCCTTTGCTTGGGAGCCAACCTTTCTATGTTCTATTTTCAACTTCTCAATTTCCCTTGGTTGGGAGATTCCCGAGCCCTGATTTTCTGCAGGGAGGTGACTAGTTTCCGCTTGGGGGATCGGGAATCTGCCTAGTTCTGTGCTAATGGATTTGTAATAAAGTGATCGAAATGCTGGAAAAAAATCAACTACCTTATGATTTTTTGTTATGGTGTATGGCGACAGTAATTGTGGGAGATGGTGTTGGGATTGATGGTAGGAAATCGTGCGAGTGTTTGAGACTAGTAACCAGGTAACATGTGTTACCGTATAAGTAAATAATTTTTTTAAAAAAAAATTTAATTGAATCCGGGCAAGTTGAAGCGTCTAAAAATGAGGTGGAGCTGTTGAAGGTATGATTCCTGGATTTTTTTTGTGCTGGTTGAACAAAAAGTAAGGGTAAGTGTTACACAAGAAGTGATATACAGTAACACAACATGTTACCTTGCCAAACATGATATTTAATAAAAAGTAACATATAATTTTTAAAATATTGACATATAAATTTAGATGAAATAGTAATTTAAAATGGAAAAGACGTATTTTTTAAAAAATTATAAAAAGTGGTAAATTGAAAACAAGGAAAATGAGATATTTATTAAATTGTGGAAAGGTCGTCAATTTTGCCTAACAAAATTTCCATGTTATCTAAGAAGGTTGCTAAAAATAATCATTATGATTTGGGCCTAAGCCCAAACCATAGACCCATCGTATCTGGTCGGGTCGGGTCGGGTCACCAGGTTGAATTGGGTTTCAGATTGGCCCAGCCGACCAATTCAGGTCGGGTCAGTGCGGGCTGTGGGAGAGTCATTGAAGATGATTAGACAAGCCCTTTTCTAATAGGATTGAGGTCATGTCCGAGACCAAATCCAAATGTAATTCGGATGTTGTTTTCTACTATAATTCCTAAAATTCTTGTCTATATAAAATAATAGATACAAGCTGGGACAAGTGCATTAAACATATTTCTTCTCTTAGTTCCCTGCTCGTGAGAAAGGATTAGTAAAAAATAAGGATATTTCGACGATTTCTTCATTCTGTACAACGCATATTTTCATCTAAAATTTACAAGAAACAGGTTTACATTCATAAAGAATGTCTAATAATAATGTTCATGAACGAGAACACATCGTTCAAGATGATTTTCCGGCCCTCGTCACACTTGCAGATTTACGTCTCGAGTTAATACCATCGGAAAAAATTCTGAAAACACGATATGTGAAGGTGAAAGAAGAAGAATATAAAGATGGAGCTAGGGTTTATTGGAAGTTGGTACAAGATAAAGATGATTTGAGCCCAGAAATTCCGTTCTCTGCCATCTTTGAGTTCTTTAAGAATCATATTTTTCATCCTGTTACACACTGTATTGGTCCATTATTTGGAATGCCCTAAAATACATGTATAAATTTTATTTGACATCATTTTTGACATTGTGCTGTGTGTTATAGCATGATTGGAAAGTGTTTTCCCCATAACACTTCTTGAATTTAGCATAATTCTTTTGAATTATAAATAAACAAAAATGGGTTATGAATAAATTGATAGTATTTTTGTGTTCTACGAAATGTATAGATAAAAAGGAATTTGATCGATTACAAATAATTTATAAACATTAGCCAAATATGGATAGTCAACCTATACAATCAAGTATATATCTGCAACTCGCTAGAAGTCTAGAACGACAAAGAACTTGTACTTTTGGTTCCTCAATTTACGAATTTCTACTATAATTGGTATTTAAGATATATCACAATTGACTCAATTCTTTCTTTTTTTTTTTTTAAGTTCCTGATTTTGTGATGGCTAATAAATTTGATCAACCCGGGCGAAGCATGGATTAAAATGACATGACTAACCAAATTGGGTGTCGAAAATCTACCATAAAGGGAGGAAAAATGAGTCTGGCAAGACTAGGGTTGAGCAAAATGTTCGAACCGAACTGAACCGAACCGGAACCGAACCGAACCTAATCGAGGGGGTTTTCTT